GGCCAACCGAACGAACACAACCGAGTAATTAACTAGTTGCCGTGAATACTTTGCATAAATAATTGTGGCCAAATACCAATCCAATAAATTATCATAACCCTAATAAAATAAATACTCCGCCGATCGCTCACAGCGATTGACAAAACAACGCAATAATAATAATGATTACGATAATAATAATCATTATATACACAATGATAACAATAATTATCGTAAACTTACACTAAAAAATATCCACAATATCAATAACGATAAATGCACACAACAATTTTGTTTATACCTAAAATAATAAAAAACGAAACAAACCTGTAAACGTTATCCATAATATTTCCCGATTTTGGCACCTTCAGATTCCTCACTGTTGCTTCTATCACCTAAAATTAAACCTAATAATACTAACAATAACAATATAAATAACAATTACTAAAATCATCAATAATAAATAAATTAAAAAATTAAGAAATCTTCCAAAAACCGAAAATATTTCCACACCTCAAAACAAATATTTTCACCTTCCTTATCGCAATCCAGCCACAACACCAAATACTCACAACCTCGCGCTTCCGATGCCAAAAACTGCAATCACAATGTCTTATAAATAAAAAATAATAATAAATGCTAAATATATAAAACAATAAATAATGAATATAATAAATAATAAAAATACATCGTTCATTTTCATCGCAGGATTCGTCTCCTTCTTCTCAGTGGGTGCTTCGAATAGCTGTACAGGGTCTACCCTTTCCCAGTTGTTAAACTTCGGCGGAAAGTCCAATCCCATGATGTGACCACACGTACTCGTCACCTCAATAATTATTATAATTAATAATAAATACTTTTAATATTATCGTTATTATATTTATTATCAACAACGATAAAAATATTACAGAAAATAACAATAAATATAACTAAAATAATAATAATAAATACTAAACAAAACAATAACAGTAATAAATATAATTAAACACCTTAAATTTTGCCGGTCTACCCATAAAGTCACCGCTATACTCATTCACTGAACACACATTATTCCATCCTGCAATACCACATTAACAAAAACAATAATTATAAAAATAATAAATAATAAAAGCACATCAATAAATAATACCAACAATATTAATAATAAATATTAACAATAAATAATAATAATGAGTAACAATGACAAATAATCACAATAATTGCAACAATAATAAATTGTAATGTATCAATAATAAATATTAATAAATGATATAGCAATAATAATAATGAATATTAAATAATAATATCAATAATCATAATAAATATTAATAATAATTAACAACAACAATTAATAATGACAATAATAAATAATAACAATAATAAAAAACAACAATAATAATA